AGAAATACAAAGGATTGTTAAAAAAATACTATGAACAACTCTATTCCAACAAACTAGACAACCTGGAGGAAATGGACATATTCCTAGAAAAATACAACCTTCCAAACTCAATCAGGAAGATTCTAAAAATCTCAATGGGCCAATAACTACGGAAGAAATTGAAGCAGTCATAAAAAAGCTTCCAGCTATTGTTCTTATGTGTATAGTCCACCTCCAGTAGAGTCTCAGCTCCTGGAGAGAAGGAGCAGTAACCTGCTCCTTTTTGAAGCCTGTGTGCCTGAAACAGTGCCTAGCTGATGGAAGGTGCAATATACATTTGAGGAGGTCTGGGAGACAGGGATACTAGTACATTTGTCTTATTTCTGTGCCTTAACTAGATTGCTTAGTTTGGGTTTCTGTTTAAAAGTACATTTCCCTGAAAATGGAAGACAAAAAGGGTTATAAACATTTGTTCCTATGTAGTTATATTTCACATTTCTCTATGCATAGTTTATCATGGAAAGAATATACACCACAGAGTCTAAGAAACATTGCTAGAAAATGCACTGATTTCATTTAGTATGTGTTTGTGATTATAAATAAATATGTATATTTTAATGGTTGTCACGGTAACCCATTTATGTAGAAGAATGTATTTTATCAATTATATCTCCTTGATATAAAAAGTACTGAAAAATACATTGGTCGAGTAAAATTCCCAATTTACCCCTCCTTTTTAAAGTACTATGACTCCCCAAGTGTGCATATAAGATAAATTTTTTATTTAGGATATAGACTAAGTTCTTCAGATATTTAAAGAAAAAAATTTACAATTGTGAAGAACCAAAAATCAAATATTGAATATGAACAGTTTTTTAAACCAGTTGCGAGAGAGATAGAGAAAGAGAGAGAGAGAGAATATGTGTGGGGGTAGGACAATTAGCAGGATTGGAGCTATGGAAGCAATGCCTGTTGCTTTAGTAGACCTCAGGTTTATGTTGAATGTCTGGGGGTTTCTCCTCATTCAGCATTGAGCTAATGAATAGCATCAGTAAAGAATTTTGTCAGACCCTGTGGTTACTATCAGGAGTTATATAGGAAAATAGTAATGAACCCTAGGAAAAGAAATAAGGGTAAGTTCAGGAAACATAACTAAAAATGCCACATTGGTATAAATTGAATAATAAAATTCCTAGTCATATTTTGCCATAAATAGAGGTTTGAGAAATTGTCACTCACCTCATTTAAAATTCAGAAATATTAAGGGTACAGGGTTCTCTCATTATAGAAATAATAGAATTCCAGCTATTACTGAGTTAGGGTCATTTAAATGGCTATAGCATGTACTATACCAATAAGTGGAACATCTGTATGAAATGTCCACCTGCTGATCTACTACCACTCTATGCACATTTCAATGAACCACACTGAATCATTTTAGGACTTCTAATGAAGCCTTATCTAGATTAACATTTTAAGCACAAATACTTTCAGGCATTAAAAGTCTCACACTAAATGAAATTGCATTGTCTTGTTTACCCTTGTTGATTAATAAGCAATCTGTTAACTATTAGAACAGTCCGATTGTGGCAGTAGCAGGAGATTAGTAATGCAGCGATGTTTGATATAATCATCATTTCTCCTAAAGGCTTTGAATTAGAATATCACTTATATACTATCCGTAGGCAACAAAAAGATATAATATTTTTAGACATATGTATGCACTATTTTGCTTGAATCGTTCAGCTTAGGGTCACTACAGCAATACAAATGCTTCTGGGGGCAAAATGCTATTTTGATGCATGCATATCCTTCTTAAATAGTGTGAATATTTATTAAAAGGAAACAGAGCCAACAAATAGTGCAGTAATAATCCAGTATTCTAATTTCTGTTTTCAGAACATTACTGCTTTGTTAGTCAAGCTTCTGAAGAGCAATGTTGCTTATCTTCTTTTGTCAAATAATAGATGTTATATATAAAAATTCTTTACAATCTTATTTAACTTATACCCAGCCAGCAGGAAACTAAACTTTTGGCCCCAAAAATATCTGAGAGTAAATTTGGAAACATTTTTCTATTTGGAGAACTTCTGTCTTTTGTGTTTCCTGGGACTTTGAATCAAAGCATTTAATCTGTTTGGCATTCATCTAACCCAATGATTTATTTTATTAAATTATAAATCACCTAGCTGTTAAGGTGGGACCCAACATTTTAGATGAAGAAATCAGTGAAAAAGGGAAGGGGATTGGGATGCAGCTAAATTGCTTGGCATTAGTTGACTGTCTATAAGAGACCTCCATCTAAAAGCGACTCCAGAGTCCTTCTTGTTCACTTGTTCATAGCTGAGCATATCACTACAATGATGGTGTAAGAGTGGGTTTCATGTCTTAGAAGACTCTGCCCTGTGAACACTCATGGCTCGGCCCCCTCTGTGTTGCAGTCGCTCTGTGGTGAAATCAAGCAGCGGCGGCGTGGAGTGGCCTCCATCCTGCGGTTATGCCAGCACCTTCTGGATGGTGGGGAGACCTGCAACCTGAGCGCGGACCACCAGCCCATGCAGCTGATCATCGTGAATCTCGAGAGGAGGTGGGAAGCCATTGTCATGCAAGCTGTCCAGTGGCAAACACGGCTACAAAAGAAGATGGGAACGGAGTCCGTGAGTGAATTTTTTTTTTTAAGTATAATCTCTCATTTTTCTCAGAATATGTGTTCATTTTGCTAATTAAAGGGATAGCTATCTCCAACCACTAAATTAAACTCCATTTATCATAACACAGATTTATTCACCTACTAATAAGATGCATTTTAGTGTATCTTGTGGTATTTTTTAAAAAATCACATGGATGTTTTGCTTAACCTTACCAAACAAAGCCATCAAATCTTTTCATCATTTCTTCACCAACAATATTACTTAACTAGAGGCCCGGTGCACGAATTCGTGCACCAGTGGGTTCTCTCAGCCTGGCCTGTGGGATCAGGTCGAAACCAGCTCTCCAACATCCTCTGAGGGGTCCCTGATTGTGAGAGAGGTCTCTGAGGGGCAGGCCAGGCCGAGGGACCCCACCGGTGCACAATTGGGGCCAGGGAGGGATCATGGGAGGGCTCCAGGGCGTGTCCGGCCCATCTCTCTCAGTCCGAATAGGCCGGACCCCAGTAGCAAGCTAATCTACCAGTTGGAGAGTCTGCCCCCTGGTGGTCAGTGCACATCATAGTGAGTGGTTGAGTGACCTTAGCATATCATTAGCATATTATGCTTTGATTGGTTGAACAGATGACTGGACAACTGAACACTTAACATATTAGGCTTTTATTATATAGGATCATAAAATACACGTGAAAATTTTCCACAAAGGTGGCTTACCATTCTCAGAGCATGTGGAGCAATGTGTATGTTCCGCAGATAAGGCCATGTAATAACGTGTACTGTCTACCTTTTTGTTATGTGATATGTTAATATTTGTACAACAATCTCCATTGTTCCTGCTTGGAGCTTCTCCTGATAGAGTTGTATTGCTGAGAAGTAGCATGTTTCCTCTTAAGAGTTTTCATGCAGTGCTTACGGTAAGGAAAATTTTAAGAATTTTCCAAATTTGCTATGATTCAAGCTGTTGCTAGATGAAGAAAATATATATAACTAGAATTGTTTTATTACAATATAGAATATGTACTTGTCCAGAAAACCTTTATATCCTTAAGGTAAAGGGTTTTGTGATAAAAAGATTGCATTTCCCAAATGACCTTGAAGTCAATATCTATTACTTGAAGGCCCAATTATTATGTTTGGCCTATGTACATGAAATACAAATATACATGCATACATAGAATGATAGAATGGAAAGGGTTTCTTGAATGTTTATATCATCAGTTCTATGTGTTTGGAAAGTTCAATATTCAAAATTGAAAATCAAATGTAATAATCTTTTCTGAAAAACGCCTCTCCTATGAATTATAATTTCAACAAAGCCTTAATTTGTAGTCTGATGTCTCTGGCATTGGGGACTGGGAACAGAAGAGACAATGAATCAGTAAGCCTTCTCGCTCTTTTTTTTAAAAAAAAAATATTTATAAAGTACTAGAGGCCCAGTGCACAAAAATTTGTGCACTCAGGGGGGGTCCCTCAGCCCGGCCTGTGCCCTCTCGCAGTCCAGGACCCCTCGGGGGATGTCCACCTGCTGGCTTAGGCCTGCTCCCCAGGGGATTGGGCCTAAGCTGGCAGACAGACATCCCTCTGGCAGCCCGGGAGCCCTCGGGGGATGTCCACTTGCCAGTGGGGAGCAGGCCTAAGCTTCCGTGGGACATCCTTAGCACTGCTGAAGAGGCAGGAGAGGCTCCCACCACCACCGCTGTGCTGGCAGCTGTCGGCCTGGCTTGTGGCTGAGCAGAGTTCCCCCTGTAGGAGCACACTGACCACCAGGGGGCATCTCCTGCATTGAGCGTCTACCCCCTGGTGGTCAGTGTGTGTCATAGTGATCAGTCATTCCCAGTTGTTCTGCTGTTAGGGTCAATTTGCATATTACCATTTTATTATATAGGATAGAGGCCTGGTGCATGGGTGGGGGCCGGCTGGTTTGCCCTGAAGGGTGTCCTGGATCAGGGTGGGGGTCCCACTGTGGTTCCTGGCCAGCCTGGGTGAGGGGCTGAGGGCCATTTTCAGGCTGGTCAAGCCCCCCATTGGGGACCCTCACCCCATGGGGGTGTGGCCAGCCTCAGTGAGGGGCTGAGGGCTGTTTGCAGGCTGGTCACCCCCTTCAGGGTGGGAGTCCCCACTGGGGTGCCTGGCCAGCCTTGGTGAGTGGCTGATGGCTGTTTTCAGGCTGGCCACGCCTGTGAGCTGGAAGCAGGTATCTGGGATTTATTTATCTTCTATAATTGAAACTTTGTAGCCTTGAGCGGAGCTCAGGTAGGCCAGAGCAGGCGGGAAGCTTGGCTTCCTCCATCGCCGGGGCAACTCACGCCTCCTGCTCACTCCAGCTCCTTGGCCGCCACCATCTTTCTGATGGAGTGACGGAGTGAGGGAGTGATGGTTAATTTGCATATTACTCTTTTTTTCTTTTTTTTTTTTTAGATAGGATATTTCAGAAAAGAAGGGAGAGGGACAGGGAGATAGAAACATCAAGATGACAGAGAATCATTGATTGGCCACCTCCTGCATGCCCCCCACCAGGAATCGAACTGTGACTTCCTGGTTCATAGGTCAACACTCAACCACTGAGCCATGCTGGCTGGGCGAGCCTTCTCACTCTTTTTGCATTTATAGCTATGTTGCGTCTAGGGGATGATTTTATCAACAGTTCAGTTTAATTGTTTTAAGCTGAAGTTGTTAAATTTCTTAAGACTTCCAAGTTATTACCAGTAATTAGAATCCATATAATTGGATGCCTTTTATTTTTAAATGACCTGTTTGTTGTGAAGCTATTTACCTGGAATCTTCTTTACGTGTTTGGAAGGGCAGAAGAGGTTATTTTTTATGCTATAGTTTGAAGTCTCTAAACATGGTAGTGGCCATAATAAAACTTACACAAAAACCTGCACCTTGAGAAACTGACATTTTGGGAGCATTACAACTGCTTTGAGGAGAACAAAAAGTGGGTTTCTTTGGGGATTTACTTGAAATCAGATGATCAGGGATGCTGGACTAGATCTCTTCAGACTAGATGTAGAGATTTTCATCCTACTTCTTTCGCTTTGAAACCCTGGCTGCTTCTTAGAGCAGAGGTCCTCAAACTTTTTAAACAGGGGGCCAGTTCACTGTCCCTCAGACCGTTGGAGGGCCGGACTATAGTTTTAAAAATAACTATGAACAAATTCCTATGCACACTGCACATATCTTATTTTGAAGTAAAAAAACAAAACAGGAACAAATACAATATTTGTATTTGTGTGTGGCCCGTGGGCCATAGTTTGAGGACCCCTGTCTTAGAGGTTCAAGCTACTACATAGGAGTAGATGTAAATTGCAGATAGATAAAAGTCTCCCCGTTCTTTGCATTGGCTGCTGAATGTGTAGATTGTTTGGAAAGATGAAGATAGCAAATGAGGTCCACTGTAAACAGTGTTGAAAAAGGAATCACTGTCGAGAAAGAAATAGAAGAGTAGAGAGTGGCACTAATGCAATAATACAATGAGCATAGTGTACCTCATTAATTTGGAAATATTTCTTGCTTGCTTCTGATCTCTGTTGGTTGTCTAATGAGTCTAAGTTGCTTTGATGGGCAGACACATATTTCACCAATATGGGAGGCTGCCTTTCCAGAAAAACAGATGTTTCTAAGTGGTCTTTCGTTTGTTCATCATATGTCCCACCTCTATGTCATCCCCTTTTGTGCACAGGGATTTGCACTGCTATATTTCTAGGGCGTGGGACGTACTTACATGTAATGGATATTTGATAGATACTTGCTAAATGAATGAGTACTTGCTTTCATTTAATATATTTTGTTTCAAACTGGTATTTGATTTGAGTTACTATATCTACATTAATTCTCAATGTTTATATTCTCACAAAATGGCTTTCAGTGTTATGTTTCTATAAGACTATTTTACTTTCATGAGACCACCATGAAGATGCCTTTTAACCTTTCTTTTCTGATAGTGACACTGTTCCAAGTTCTAAAATATGGTGTAAAGTATCCCATGTTATACTCTCTGTTCTTCAAAAGTAATTTCTGAAGGAAATTCTGTATGAGGTATTGGATAAGGTGGTTCTAAAAATGTGGGTTAGGTTAGAAGTAGAGGCTCTGGTTCTCACTATGTTATAGGATTCTTTTCATTACAACCTTCTTTATTACTCCTAACTGGGTAAATAATGAATATATTTATCTTGTCTCTAAAAATTGCAAGAAAGCAAGAGGTCTTGTATTAAATTTTGGAGATCAAAACAGACAAAGCCCAAAAGCATCTTTCTCCTTTATCATCAAGATTTGAAACTGCATAATTGACACTCTGCTTTGTTCTTCCAACACTCGATCTCTTTGCTCAGATTTACTTTTATTTTGTTTAGAACTGATCTCTCTCTATACTTTTTAAGCTTTAATTCTAATTTTCATTTGACTCATGTTTGTTTGTTTGATTGTTTTAATTTCTAGTCTCCTTCCTTATTTCTTTGTGAGCAAATAAGCTTGAACTTTGTTCCTTTGATTTCTTTCTCTGAAACAAATGATCAGTTACACAAACAAGAGACAGACATCCCTAGAGATTCTGTGAATATTAAAAGGAAATATTATGAATAATAAAGATCAGAACAGAAATTATTGAAATTGAAAACAGAAAAATCAATTAAACAAAAGCTGTTTTTTAGAAGATCAATGAAATTGATATACCTCTAGCAAGACTGTTCAGAAAACTACAGACCAGTATCCCTCATGAATATAGATAAAAATATTCTTAACAAATTTTATCAATTTAAATTAGCAACATATTATATATATACTAGAGGCCCGATGCATGAAGATTCGTGCAAGAATAGGCCTTCCTTCCCCTGGCTGCCGGCACCACCTTCGCTCTGGCCCGGAGCTGCCTCTCCGCCCTCGCTCTGGCCAGAGCCACCTCTCCGCCCTCCCTCTGGCCAGAGCAGCCTTCCCCTGCTTGCCTTGTCATATCAATTTGCATATTCCCTCCAATTGGCTGTGAGCGCCACCATCTTTATCATGAAGTGACG